TGCTGAATGAGAGCGCGGTCGTGGCACCGGAGAGCTCTCAGGGCGCCCCAGAAACTAAAACCAGGCAGTTCATGAGGTGCTGCTGAACCGTAACCACATGGGAGCAGCGAGAAACACCAGGCAGGTGCCCTCTGCAAGGCAAACTGGAAGGAGGCACCTCCGGGGATCACCGGCGAAACCCGAGAGCTGCAAAGGAATTTGCAATTAGAGTGGACGGGATAAATACGCCAGGTAAATCCTTTTATGTGGCCCTGTGGAGCGGAACAGAGAAATTAAAGATAAACGAGATTAAAGGCTTTTTTTATTTATTTTTTTTTTAAGTTGGAAGGAAAAATACTTTGGAGGGGGAAATGAGTTTGGACCCTCAGCAAGAGAGACATCTGGGAAATCCTGCAGCACAAATCCTTCCTAATCGGAACTGATCACAAATGAAAAACAATAATAATCAAAAGGGGAAATAAAAGCAGAGCACGGGAGGCTGTTGCTCCGGCGTGCTGGGAAACGCTGGTCCTGCAGCAGGGATCTGCACCACCCGCACCGGGGCACGTGGTGTTCCTCAAGGGGCTGGACGTTTCTGGATAATGTGGGATTTTTCTTGGCTGTTTCCCGTGGTTTGGGGAAGGAAAAGGAGAAGGGAGCCGAGCTTTTTCCAACAGGATGCCCTGGGTACGGCCTCGGTGGCTCCCCCACGTCCAGCTCCTCCTGGAAGGAGAACCGAAAGCTAAAGCCAAAGCCAAAGCCAGGTTTGGGGAAGGAAAAGGAGAAGGGAGCCGAGCTTTTTCCAACAGGATGCCCTGGGTACGGCCTCGGTGGCTCCCCCACGTCCAGCTCCTCCTGGAAGGAGAACCGAAAGCTAAAGCCAAAGCCAAAGCCAAAGCCAAAGCCAAGGCTGCCTCCTTGGCCAGGGCTTCAGGCACAAGTGCTTTCATGACGGCCAGTGCTGATGTTAGAAGTGGCCTGGAAATGTTATTAGCAAGGAAAGCGGAGGAAATGAGTGAAAAAAGGAAAAAAAAAAAGAAATAATAATAATACATTCAGACTCGTTTGGCTGTCTTCCTGGGAGCCCTTTTAATATAGAGCAACTCAACAAAGTTGTATTTTTAGCTCTGGAAAGATGCGTTCCAGTATTTGCCCACTAAAGGGATTTGACTTAATACACTCACATTCCCCCTCCTTCCTGCGCTGAAAGAAATGAACTTCAATCCCAAACTTAACCACTGGATACAGAGACTCTGTTCTCCCCGTTGGCCGGAATAAAACCCAATAAATGTATTTCATTTCTTTTGTGGATTTATAACAGCACCTGGCAAGGATGGTCTTAATCTCCTTACGCTGCTCGCGCCGCCGAAAGAAACCCTCGCAACAGTTATTGAAAGAGAGATGAAAGGATAATAGGAGCCAAATCTGGAAATATAAATATTATCTCCGGGAAGATCAGTTATAAAAACGCACGAAATCCATACGCGYGTCTCCGGAGAGCGCTCGGCCTAACAGCACAATTTAGACAATAGGTTATTAAAGATAAGAAATATATGCTCCTCTTAAAGACAGCACTGCTAGGGACACCAGCAAGGCACGTTTCCACACTGAACTGGTGGCCAAGATGGAGTGGCAGACCTGAGAGAAAGGCAGGAATTAGCGGAGGAAAAGGACTGGTTGACACAAGCGTCCCGAATCTCCTTGTTTCTTCCCTTCAACACGGAGAAAATCCACTGAAATTTCATCCTTTTTTGTACCCGGCGCGGCTGCAATTTCCGTTATTAGCCAAGAAGATAGCAGTTATTTACCGTGTCAGGAGCAGTGCCACGAAGATGAATTCCCAGGAAAAGAACTAATCACTTAAAAAAATAAGAAAAGCCCCAGGTTAGCAGCAACCTGCCTTGAAGTTTGCTGATGTTGAAAGAAAGTTTCCCGGTGATTTAATGGCCTTCGATCGAGGCYGAAGGCATCCGGGCAACAGGTTTAAGGGGATTTTAAGCACAATTCCGTCCCAACTCAATGCCTCTGATGAGCTGTGGTGGGACAAGGCTGGAGAGGAAGACACAGCGCGCCCTGAAGTTGCATGAGGAATTAAGTCGTTCCCTTATATCCATAACCTGCACAAAATGAGATGAGTCCCGCGGCTCATCGCCGTTTTCCACCTTCAGCTGCTGTAAAGAAACCAATTACAGAGTGCTCAAGGAGACCTGACGGGSCCCTAAATCACGAAAAAAAGCACGAGACGGGGGGGGGGGCAAGGCATAAATGACTTGTTTATGGTTTGTGGCCGTAAATGGCCTGTTTAAAGCCTGCCCGCCCATGAGGCAAACTCTGTGAGCAGGAGAGGACGGCGGGGCCAGGAACGCCCCTTCCCTCACACACACTCCAACCTTTCCAAGGCCCCCTGCAAGCTCCCCGGCGCTTCCCAAGCGAACGGGAACACAAGGCTGGGAATTTCCCCAACCCGTGAGGAGGCCAGAAGGTGCTTTCCTCGCCTGACGCTTCGTGGTGAGGCTGCGGGCGACGGATTTGGGCTGCGTGGAGCCCAAGGAGYGGCGCCAACCGAGGGCCCCACGAGGCGACCTCAGCTCGCAGCCCACGGCCCAGCTCGGCCTTCGCCTCCGAAACCAGGAAGGTAACGRCACAAAGACACGTTTTCCTATGGATTGAGGAAGGGAAAGCCTGAACGCCAGGAAGAKCATAAGGGTACAAGGGGGCCTGCGTCTCCTTGATGGTCCAACTAACAACCCTACCTCCGTCAACAGGCCGTGTCCAGCTCCAACGTCAGACCCCACAGGAAGGCTCAACTCACTCCCGGAGTTACCAATAGCTAACTTTTATTAYCATTACTGCTATTATTGCATTAGTAATACGTGTCTCTAGCCCACGCACGCAGATCATTTATTTARCTAAAAAAAAAGAATAACAGGGTGACTGGCTTCAGGGAGGTGGTGGTGACGATTTACTCCTTAACTTTTTTAAAATATACAATTATATATAATTTTGTGTATATATATCTAAAAATGTATATARTTACTTTATATATCTATATATATCTATATATATAAATATATATAAAAGAAATTATGTATTATCCATTACTGCCCGCAGTACCCATAGCTTTGTTTAACCCCCTCGGGCAGCCCATCATTTTCTATGGTGTTTTTCTGGGTGAAAAAAACACAAAACCAAAATAAGCAAACTACAGTTGAAAAAAGCCATGTGCCTGTTTGCTGGATGGATCCGGWGGCATTCCCGGCGGGCAAACAGTGCCCAGGAAGGCAGCAGGACAGCCCAGGCAGCCCGGAGGCCACCGCAAGGTCTTGCAGCAGGACAGGAACAATTAAAAAAGCATCTTGTGAGGAGAAGTGGCCTCATTTACTTGTTTGCAGGTGGCAATTTGCTCGCTGCCTTCTCCCTCCCCGCCAGCAATCTCGGAAAATAGCAGTTTACTTGCCAGGGCTTGTGGTGTTCTCCTRAAAAAAGGCATTATCCCACTATCGGTCTATTTGCTGGCCCCRCTGCTCCGGCGGAGCAGTTCGGGTGAAGCTTCGTTTAGTGTTTTTGAATGCACCTCAGCCTGCCCGTGCTGCAATAAAATATTATTGAATTCGGGTCCCCGCACCGCGCTCGCCGGCCCTCGCTTTTATTCATATCGTGAGCCTGGCTGCTCTTCTCCCAGCAATAAGAGGGATATTTCTAGCGAAGAAATGACCTTTCCTTCCTTCAACACAGCAACCGGGAAAGGCGGTTTCAGCCTCCACGTTGAAAACAAGTAATAATGAAATAAATAAACGGAAAATAATAAAAAAAAAAGGTTCAGAACAGAAGAGAGATTCTCCAGCATCGCTTCCCTTCACCCYTTCTGGCATCAGAAGTTCACCAAAGCTTCTCTGAGCGCCTAAGGAACTTGGCCTCTTCCTGACACCTACCAGCCCGTTCACCCAGAGGAGCCCCCCGCTCTTTTGCAAGGTTCCCCAGACCTGGCTTAACCCATAGGCCAGACTGATGTCGACAAAACCAGCACCTGCTGCCGCCACCGACCCCAAATCCAGGGGCTGGAAGCCAAGGCAGGGACCGAGGGCCCCTCTCACGATCCGACCTGCRAGCAAACGCAGCCCGTAGAGCCCAAAAAGCTGCTGTGCTGACRGCCAAGAGCTTCCCCCCAACACCGAGACCATTAAAACATGTTGTTCTCCACTTTTTTCCTCTCAAAATGAAAGGCCTTATTTATAGTGCAATGCTTCCAAAATAGCACTCCTGTATGAGCTCATGAGGTCTGCCCCAGAGGCCCTTGGTGTCACCCTTTCCATAGGCTTAATAGCTCACCCCATTAAAAAAGAAAGAAAAGGAGAAAAAAAGAAATAATCCATCATCACACGTCAAAGCCTCTCAAGTTTGTTCAGAGAGAACAACACAAATCAAACACCAATGTGCTGAGCAGCAGAGATGCTCCTTGGAGAGAGACCCGTGAGCCTTGGGTGGTGCCTTCCAACCACGTCTGCATGGAAAATCCTTCCGGGCCCAGTGGGATAGGGGCTGGCGCTATCCTGGGGGATGAGGGGGAGAGCRGGGTCACCGTTTCTTTGTGAGATATGTGGTTCTGGGTAGGAGGACGGTGACCAACTCGGTGTCTCCAGAAAGCCAACCCTGAGCTACGCTTAACATTTTGCAGCTCTGACGTTGCCTTTTCAACACATACTGCTGTCATYCCCCATGATCATTCTTTCTACCTTTAAAAACCAAGCGGCCTGGATGCAATTTCCCTTCCCAAGCACACGACTGAGGAAAGTCCACCTCCGGACACTGGGAATCTTCCCCAACGTCAGCTCTCCGTCTCCTCGTCAATCCCACACTGTATTTAAAGCCCTTGTGACCCCACGCCGCCCGTCCAGACAGCGCAGGTGGGACCAGGGCGTGTTCCTCCGTGGTTATCACCAGTGAGAGAGGCCAGAAGCTCCGGAGGGGCCCGTGCCCGTTTGCTATGGGGCGTGCGCGCGCGGCGCGACCCGCGTACGTACTGTAAGGGACGCATTCGTACTGCACTTCCAGGTACTTGTAGGTGCCGGGGCAGGGGTCCGGGAAGACGTCGGGGCCGGCCACCACGGCGCACTGCGTCCGGTTGCTGCACCTGCAAGGCAAGGGACAACAGGGAAGAGCGTGAGCGAGAAGCAAGGACACGGGCGGGAAGCCTCCGGAAAYGCTCCCGAGCGCCGGCAGCCCGAGGGCTGTGGACAACCGTGACCCTGTAAGGACAAGAAAATGCAGAGAGAAGTGCCACATATTGCACAGCGGGGGCAAAAAAGTGGCTTTTTTGACCTGTTTATGGGAGACAGCGTTGTGAATAATGCTCTTTCGTGCAAAGGAACGTCAGGGACGGCACCGCTAGAGAGGTGAAGAACGACCCAATGCACCAAAGAAGCTGCCCGTCTGTCTTGACATATATTTATATCCAGATATCCATATAAGAATACATATACATATACATATATATGCACACATACACATAAAATTTTTCTTTCCAAGTGGATGGAAAAGGGGGGATTGCAAAGAGAAACCCCTTGCTCTCGTGTAAAAAGTGCATCAGTAGAAAGTGGGACAGAGGGAAAATGATGAAGTCTTTGGTTGGGTCTTAGAGCCCTAGGAGAACAGGTTGCTGCGGCTGTTCCCTCCGGGATGCTGCTCCAGTGTCACCTGTGGCCTCCACGAGCCCCGTAARTTAAACCAGATTCATTAGTGGCTGCCTAATGAATCGGATGGCGGGAGCAGAGCAGCCTTGTGGCAAGGAGGCAASAGAAAGAACAAACCAAGCAACAAACCAACGCCCCAAATGTCCCATTTTGTAAGACACAGAGATCTCCACTTCCCAGCTCCTCACATCCCAAAAGGAGAAGCTCCCATTATTCCCCCTTTTTTTTTTTTTTGAGAAAAGAATTTTCCTCTGGAAAATTTATCCTCCAAGCATAACCTCTCTCATCTACAAGCAGGAAATAAAATCACATTGATTATGTTTTCCTTCCAGCTACGTTAATTCCCATTTCTTGTATTGCTTTTTGCCTTTGCATAGGAAAAACACATTTCTGTGAGAAAAAAGGTGTCAGCCTAGTGCAACACACGCAGGGCACCAGAATCAGGATGATTTGTGACAAAATTCTCCAAGCTGCAGCAGAAAACAACCAATTTGGGGCAGCAATTTGCCCAATATTTATTTGTTTGTGCTGGGAACAAAGGGACAGCAGGGAGCATCGAGCCCAGACCCGGCCCCAGGCTCAAGCCTGGAGCGCATCTCCCAACTCAGATCCCAACAGATAAGGAACCAAAGGGAACAGCCCTGCGCTCCCCTTGGGAGCATTTCCATTCCTTTCGCCGGCAACATTTTTGTGATTTTTAAGTGACAAGGTCACCGAGGGAGGAACATTTCAGGCATAAACAGCTGCTTATTCCCACTCTGGCATCTTTTTCTTTCTTTTTTTCCCCCCTCCAGTGCTGACATTGTTCATATATTTACTGAAAGAGAAAGAAAGGAGGAGGAGGAAAAAAAAAAAGCAGCCTGGCAGGTGATGTTTATTTTAGGTCCTTCCTTTAACAAACACGTCCATGGCAAGGGCTGGATGTGTCTGGAATGCTACGTTTGCAAGAGGGAAAAACGACCCTCTCCCGGCGTTATCATCTGGACACTTCATTTTTTATCAGGTAAAAGAGCATCACTTGTATTAATTATTYGTAATAGCTCCTGCAGAGGGTTTGTAGAAGAGCGAATGCAAGTGCTGCAGGACCCTGAACCGCCAAAAACCCCTTATTTTTATTTTTCCCTTTAGCCTCTCAGCCCGAGCACGTCGCTTTGCATGGATTTTATTTTTCTGCAAAGGCTGGACGTGAGCAGGCGCGCTAATGCAGGCACAACACCCAGGCTCAGGCCCGCTGCTCAAGGCCTGGTCTCTTTTCCAACCGTTTTACAGTAGGGGACAGACTTAACTCACTGTCCTTCGTGGCGACGCTGCAAGACATCCTCGCCCTGCTCCCGAACACAAAACACCCTCCTCTCCGGGTGGCTGCTCTGGGAAAGGGGCTGTCGGAGCAAATAAGTCAGCTCGGAGTCCGCTCTTCCCTGTCGATACGTGGCATTTCCAAAGCAACCCTTTGGGAAGCACCGAGAGGGAGGAGAAAATGGAAATAAAAGAAAATGAAAGGATAGATACCCTGGAGAAAGTCAGCGGGAAGCGAAGTGAAACCGCCCTCCTAAGGGGAGCCTAAGCGGAGTCACAGCTCCCAAACCAGGGGAAAAGGAAATAAATGAGGGAAGGGAGGCGAAAATGGGCAAAGAGGGCAGAGCACAACCATGAGAAAAGCCTCTGTCCCACCGTGTTGGCAAAAAAAAKAGAAGAAAAGGATAGGGGAGAGGGAAAATCCCTTCATCTTACTTGTTCTGGATGGCAACGGGCAGAGCTGCAGAGAAAACCAGGCAGAAAAACCCACCTTTTATGGAAAAACATCTTCCCCTTTTCAGGAGCTGCCTGCTTAGACCTTTACCAAGGCCCACCAGCCAAACCTCCATAAAAATCCCATTTACAGAAGACCCACGGAACCCATCCCGACGTTCCCACTGCCATTTACTGCCCCACTGTGGCACGTGCCCAGCCAAGTGCCCCTTCCCAGTCGGTGACCAGTGAGTGCCAGTGGCACAAAACCCAGGTGGCTTTAGAGCAAAGATCCCTTCGGGATCATTGGGATGGTTGGGATGGAGCGTCTTCCAACTAAGAACACGTTGCCCAAGGAGGCTGGAGAGTCTCCATCCTCGGAGATACTCCAAAGGCCACTTGGATGGATCCTGGGCGACACAGTCTTGGTGTCCCTGCTTGAGGAAGGGGGGTTGGACCAGGTGATCTCCCGAGGTCCCTTCCAACCTCAGCCATTCCATGATTTTGATCAACATGCAACAGATTCGGTCTTTGGCATCGCAGAGAAACCAGCTCAGACAGAAAGATAATATGAAAGTCCCTGAACAAACGGAGAACCTGGCAGGTTGGGTCCTGTCCCCAGCTGCAGCTCAGGCATTGAAGTAACACCATGGGGAGAAAGGAAAAAAGATGGAAAATAAAAACCTCGGAGAGATGTCAGGGCTCACACATCCCTATGTGCTCCCCRCGCCGTCCCTTCCACAGCGTTCCCATGGGAATTTCCAGCTACCCATGCGGCCTCCAGCTCCTCTTCCTTAAAATGCTCGCCTGCCTCTCGCATATGCAGCTACAGGACGTATAGATTTTTGCAYCTAGTGCTACAGATGCAGAACTGAAGTCACTGCACATAGGCCGGCTTGCACTGAGGATGCAAAGCTCCGAGGCACAGTTTTCCGGGAAAGCTCAGTGCTTCCCAATGGATTTTTCCAAGAGCTGGGTTCCTGGGGCAGCTACGGAAAGGCCCAGGACGTCTCGGTTCTCATGCAAAAGCTGCCGGCTGTTCAGCGCTCCGGTAATCYCAGAAATTCCAGGTATCCCTGAGGAAAGGAAAACAAAACGTCCTACCCAGCACCTCGCTGAGCCTTTGGTGGGGCAAAACCTGTGAAATCCATAGCAGGTCTCCTGCAAGTCAATGCTCCAAGCTGGGCAGGATGCTGCTCCGACGTGCCAGCCTCCAAGCCCAAGGAGAAAGAGAGAAGCGGAAAGAGGCAGGACGGATTGATCAGATGCCTCCGTAAATCATTCCCGTCRTTCCCGTTTGTTCTCCGCCTTTCATTCGTTCATTACTTACACACCTTAAGCCACTGGGTGCTGCGGCGGGGCCAGYAGAAAGGGAGATAAATTTTAACATCCCTTTTTGAAACGTCTCGAAACGAGCCCGCTTTCCCTTGAATGCTGATGTCAAACGTTGCAGGGAACGTGCTGGCTCCAAGSCATTCACCCGGGAATCATCCCGCTCCGACCCGCTCCGACCGGGAAAGAAAAGGCTCTTATTCTGTCCTGGCCCTTGGGTTTTGGCAGCCTTTGCTCCTGCACGGCCCCCTGCAACTTGGGGGCAAAATTCCACCCAATGAAAACAGCAAAATATATATATATATTTATATAAATTTATATGTGTATCACTAGAGTTTGTCGCTGCAGTTTCACATTTAATGCAGGAGAATGAGCAAGGCACGTGGAGCGCCCGTGGGTTGTGCTACCAGCCAGCGATGCTCTTCCCACCGCACGCCCGCTGATCCCAGAGTTTCAGCCCGCGCCGCGGAGCTGGGAATGGATCCCCRAAGGAGCCGGGAAGGGGGCGGGAAGCCCGACGCTGCCCATGGGGAATGGCTGGAGCCAGAGTCCTTCCCGAATGCTTTAATCCGGGTGGGCTAACAAGGCAAGTGAGCTGGGGAGCGCGCGGTTGAGGAGCGTTTGGAGGTGGCGACGCTGGTGGCACCGGGGACTCGTGGGGTTCGGAGGGGCCAGGCCAAGCTGGGGCTCCCCCGAGGACGAGGGGGACACCTCTTAGCTCCTTGGGCAAAGAGATCAGCACAGCAAACAGAACCAAAATCCGGCATTCCTGCTCCTYAGGCAGCTGCTAGAGCAGGGAGCAGCTCCTCGGGCCTGACCTACATTCAGCCGCACGGCTTCACTGCACGCAGGAGGAACTTAATTAAGCTGCTGCTGCTGCTTAATAAAAGCCAGGGAAAGCCTCCATTTCACGGCAAGGCGCTGCAGCCATGCGGGGGCTGCGGCGGGATGGCCCATCCGAGCGCTCCCGCCTTCCCGTCCTTCCCCATTACATCTGAGGGATGAGCAGGTCATCTTCCCGGAGCCTCTTTGGAATATTGTAACACAAACATTTTCCCTGTGCAGGTGAGCCCTAGGTTTATCTTATTTTCTTCTCCTCCTGCGCTGCAGTGACCAACATCTCCAGGAAACAGCAGCAAAATGCTGCATCTTCACGAGCATCCTCACCCAAAGGATCCTCGCCCTCTACTCCACGCTGCCTTCCTGACAGAATAATTTTTTGGGAGGAAATCTGGCCCTAGCCTTGAATAAACAAGAAAAGAAAGCTCTTRCAATGACAGTATCTGGTCAGAAGCTGCTGCCTGGGTCCGTGGGACAAGCTGATGGTCGGGCAAGCGTTGGTGAGTTTAGAGGAACATTTCTTCTCTGCGCAGAAGAAGAC